TTTTAAAAAATTATAAATTTCGAAATTTTAAGTTTCGGTGCAAACTAACCCTACAAGTACAACTAATCCTAGGGACTACCATTTTTCCAGGAAAGAAGATCCACAAAGAAATTTGGAGAACACCCAAAGGCCTTGTAGTCAATCCAATAGATCATCTCTTAATCGACTCTCGCCTGAACATGGACACGGATCATTATTTCAGCGTAGCCGAAATTAGGGCAAGGATATCCGTTGCCAGATTCTCTAAAACTCACTTTGTAAGAAGATATAATATTGATAAGCTGAATGAAGCGGAAGTGTGTGATACATATCAGGAGGGCCGTCGCAGCCTTGTCTGCGCCTCGAATCAGATACAAAAATATAATGCATAATGCTTTTGAAAAATTCATTTCTGTCCGCTTTCTACTTTTTAATTTATTCCTTTTTATCATTACTTATATCATTGTTCACAACTAGAGGAATAATTATTTCTAACCTCAGTTCCATATGCTGTTATTAGATAAATTACCACTATAACTAGCTAGAGATTTATCGGTACTGAAAGGAAGTGCAAAAGTATAATAAAGTACAGTAAATAAAATCTGTAAACATGAGAAAATATACTACTGGCCGAGTACGAGGGATGTGAATGGGCGCCTGATATAATTTCGCCTCGGGCGCCAAAAACTAACGCGACGGCTCTGCATATACGAATAGTCTCTCATCTGCTGATAGTGAATGAAAATATTGCAACGCCACAGGCGGATCTACGGTGGGGGGTTTCGGGATGAAGCCTCTTCTCCTACCCCCCTCCCCCCCAAAAATGGTAAAATATAACCATGTTTTATGAAAAAAAATTATTATTGTTCGTCTAATTACATTTAATATGACTCAAATGAATTACTTAAATACCATTTCATATAGATACTTAGTTTCTTTCTTTCTTCCGAAGTAATTATCGTAATATATATATGGTAGTTCTGCGCATGCGCTTGATTTGATTGCCACGTTTTTACATCGTCTCTCACAGTTTCTCTTTTTTTAAGTGGAAAAAGTTTACTTTTTTTACTCAAAAACTATTAACGCCGAGATCAACACAGCAGCAACAACAATGGACTAATACCACAGTGAGTAGTGTTGATATTTACTGTGTATTCTATAGACAGTGAAACCAGTGTCCGAGGTGCTTTATCGCTAGCCTTATCTGTCATAGCTACGTCTGATACTGCCCACTCTAGCAGTCGTGGCTCTGCCACGGATGAAGACGGACGGAGCTGTGCTCGTCGTTTCTCCGAGTTCAAGGACACGCAGACGAAGTTTTATTTTCCTTATTTTTTTTATTTATTATTTTTTTTTTAGATGCGATATTTTCATCAAGTGATGTCCACTAAAAGGTCTTGTTCTGCTGGCTCCACCCCTCGTAACTCACCACCTAAACAAAAAACTCGTCGCAGTAAGCGATCGACACCCCCGGAACTCCTCCAGCGAAAATTCAAGATTCCACACCACAACCGCAAGCAGGTACCTCTTCACAACAAATGGTCTCTGAATCTCCATTTTTTACACCCAATCCATACCAGGTGCTTCAAAATGACAGAGAGGAGATGGATTCTGCACCGATACCTAGAGAACCACGGCCTCCTCCGATCTTTATCAAAAATATTAGAAATTTTCAATTATTATGCACCCAATTAAATACAATCTGTCCTGATAGCTTTTCATGCCTTAACAGGACTAGCGACACAAAAATAACACCGGCCACACCTGAAGCCTATCGAAAAATAATCAAGTATTTGACCGAAACAGGTGCGGATTTTCACACATACCAGCTGAGGGAGGATAGATCATTAAGAGTAGTGATAAGAAACTTACACTCCTCAACCCCAACTGAGGTTATCAAGGATGAGCTAACGGCGTTAGGGTTCAATGTTCGCCAAATAACAAACGTTCTGAAAGAAAATAGAGACCATCCAGGAGTAAAAACTAAAATTCCACTGCCCTTATTTTTTGTGGATCTGGAGCCAACACCAGGGGTGGAAAAAATATACGACATACATCGATTATACTATACCATCGTAAAGGTTGAAAAACCATATCCGAAAAAAGAAATCGTCCAGTGCCACAATTGTCAGGCATACGGCCACACTAAGTCATATTGCCACCACATGCCGCGCTGCGTGAGGTGCGGCGAATCACACAAATCTGGAGAATGTACCAAACCAATAAAAGATCCTGCAGTCTGCGCCCTATGCTTGGCGGGTCATCCGGCCAACTATAAAGGTTGTGAAATCTATAAAAACCTCAAAGCTAGATACAAGCCCCGGAACCACGATGCTACACCTAAACAAAGAAGAGGACCTGCTAAAATCGTGGACTCTAAAGTTTCCTTTGCTAAGTTACTCGGAGGTAGAGACCCGACTAATGAATGTGAGACCCTGCCGGTACAACCAACTCAATCCCTACCTCAATACCATATCCCTCCTAATTTACCTAAACCTCAACAACCTAACCAATATCAAATCCCTCACATTCCTCCACCGTCCAATGCCACAGATCTTACTAGTTTATTGACATCCTTCCTTACCGAATTTAAATCCCTTGTCACCCCACTGATATCACTTCTTACAAACCTGGTATCTCATCTCATTCCTCCTTTAAAAAATCCTTAAATGACTTTCATCAAACCCATATCCATTCTCCTATGGAATGCGAATGGTGTTAGAAATCACATAGACGAACTAACAGCCTTACTATTAGACAAGAACATTGATGTAGCCCTAATTACAGAAACTCGACTGACCAAAAAACAGCTTTTGAAAATACCACAATACTTAACGTATCGGACAGACCACCCTGACGGTAGAGCACATGCCGGTACTGCTGTCATCGTACATCAATCCCTCTCTCATCACATACTCCCATTGCCTAATCACGATTTCCTACAATCCACTGCAGTTGTAATCAAAACCTTTTCCTTTCCTGTCACCATTGCATCAGCATATTGCCCTCCTAACCGATCCATATCCAATGTCCACTTCACCTCTCTCCTAAATTCCTTAGGAAACCACTTCATCCTGGGTGCAGACTTAAACGCCAAGCATCAACAATGGGGTTCAAGAACCACGAATTCTCGTGGTCGAACATTGCTGTCTGCACTCAATTCCCAATGTTTTACCCTCCTTCCTCCCAATTCACCTACCTACTGGCCCACTGACCCTAACCGTAATCCCGATATCCTCGATTTCTTTATCCACAAAGGTTTAGGTACCCTCCACCATTCCCTTGCCCATCTTGATGAGCTTTCCTCAGACCACAGCCCATTAATATTCCAAGTATCATTAGCTCCTATTCCTAAACCCTCTCCACCATCCTTCATCAGAGGCCCAGTTAACTGGAAACTCTTTCATCAAATCCTCTCCGATAAAATTGACCTCAGAGTAACCCTGAAAACCCCTGAAGACCTGGACAATGCAGTACATTCCTTCACTACCAAAATTCAAGAAGCAGTCTGGACTGCTTCCTCCCCTGATCACTCCTCAAAAATCCTTAAGAAACATAATTTACCTCAACACCTCCTTGACCTAATCCACATAAAACGCCGTGCCAGATTATTATGGCAACGTACCAGACATCCAGCCGACCGCCACTCCTACAATTATCACTGTAAAAAATTAAAACAAGAATTAGCCACCTTCAGATCCCAATCATTCAATTCCTACCTCACCACACTCTCTGCTCATGATAATTCCCTTTGGAATATCACCAGAAAAATCCTCAAATCCCATCATATTTCCCACCCTCTTCGACGAGGTGATGGCTCCTGGGCAGCATCTGATGAAGATAAAGCCGAGGAGTTTGCCAAACACCTTTCCTATACTTTCGCTCCTCATCCGGAATCTCATCCTACCCACACAGTAAAAGTAGAAGAATTCCTTTCTTCACCTATCCCACTCTCCTTACCACCTAAAGCAGTTAATCCCTCTGAGGTCAAATACCTATTACGCAAAATCACTCCTCGTAAATCTCCTGGATACGACCTTCTAACCCCGCAGATCCTACGACAACTACCATCCAAAGCCATCATATTTCTAACCTATATATACAATTGTATCCTCCGAACTACCCACTTCCCTCTCCTATGGAAACATTCCACCATCATCCTTTTCCTGAAACCAGGCAAGCCTCCCAATAATACATCATCCTATAGACCAATTAGCCTACTCCCAATTCTTTCAAAAATTTTTGAAAAGATCCTCCTGAAAAGAATCCTACCCATAATAGACTCCCGTAAAATCCCTACCCATCAATTCGGATTCCGTTCCCAACATTCTACCGTCCAACAAGGACTCCGAGTTGTTGACCACATATCCTCAGCCCTAGAAAACAAGCAGTTTTGCTCGAGTGCATTTCTGGACATAGCGCAAGCTTTTGACCGGGTGTGGCACGCCGGACTGCTCTTCAAGCTCAAATCCCATCTACCACAGTCCTTATACCTAATACTCCAATCCTACCTCTCCGACCGCTCCTTTCGAGTTCGCTGTGGTACAGAATTTTCCGACTGTTATTCAATTGAGGCTGGAGTTCCTCAAGGCAGCGTCTTGGGTCCCATCCTTTACATCATCTATACCGCTGACATTCCCGTCCATCCCGATACACTCCTGGCAACTTTCGCTGATGACACTGCGATCCTATCTTCTAACTCAGATCCTGAAACAGCGTCCAGAAACCTGCAACGGCACCTATCCTTGATTGAACACTGGTGCAAGAAATGGCGCATCAAAGTCAATGAATCCAAATGTAAACATATAACCTTCACCCTTCGTCGTAATTCCTGTCCACCAGTTTACTTTAATACCATCCAGCTTCCCTTCTGCGACACAGTCCGGTACCTTGGTTTTCTCCTAGACAGACGACTAACGTGGAATCCGCATACTAGACTGAAAAGACAGGAACTTAACCGACGTTATGGCCAGCTATATAGACTACTTAATAGAAAATCTAAACTTTCTATTGAAAACAAACTACTGATCTACAAGACAATATTAAAACCCATGTGGACCTACGGACTAGAACTGTGGGGGACAACCAAATTTTCTAACATCAAACGCATTCAATCCTTCCAGTCCAAAGTCCTCCGTACAATAGTCGATGCTCCCTTTTATGTCTCTAATAAAACCCTGCACAATGACCTTAATATTCCATTTATTCTTGATCTTATCCCAGACAAATTCTCCAAATTTCATCAGAACCTTACCCATCACCCTAATCCCGTAGCACAATCCCTATCTAGCACCACTCATCCCTACAATCCTCCTCGCAGGCTGAAACGGCAGTGGCCCCGTGACCTTTTGTAACATGTATATACTGGAGTTCTGGCAATGGCCAGATTCTCCACTCAAGTCATGAGTGTCCGTGGTTGTAGCGCCCTTACTCAATCTCCGCTGGCTTTCAATGCCAGTGAAATGGTTGAGGAAGAAGCGCAGGGATCTCCTAAAGCCTTGCTTTCCCTCCACGTGTGGGGGGATAAGTATGGTTCGGAGTTCCTATGGCCGACTGTAAATAGTGTAATAGGTATGCCTGCGTCTAAGATGTTTATTTTCATTACTTTTTTTTTTAAGATAATTTTAATTCTATTTTATTCATTTATTTTCATTCTATTATTACTATTATTTATATTTTCTTTCTTCACTATGATATTTTATTTTGTTCTTTTGTAGCTTTATATTATTTGAAGTTAGCTCTCAGAACTCTATTATAAATGTTCTTTACTGAGACAGATTGTAATATTTATCAATAAACAAATAAATAATAATAATAATAATAATTATATATATATATATATATATATATATATATATATATATATATATATATATATATATATATATATATATATATAGCAGTACTACTACCTCCGGTCTAATTAATAACTGCGTCAGTGATAATATATCACCATGTGATATAAATAGGTAATAATTTAGGAAGTTGCACTAGGTTATACAGAGTTAGGGGTACTAAATGTTTGTACCACTTATAACATTAATCATATAACAAAACAATGTTAATATTATGTAATAGAACATTCCTTTTGTAAGGCCGAGCTCTAAAATGTAACTGTAATCAATAATTCATGTAAAGTTATATTGTTAAAATAAATATGTTTATCTAGTTTATTTGCGTTACCTATTTAAGTTATGATAATAAATAGGTTATATATATATATATATATATATATATATATATATATATACAAAAAAAAAGTCTTTTGGGTTGAACCTCCCTCCAAAATTAAATTGTCGATCCGCTAATGAGCTATGATATATAGTGAGAGAAGAAGGGAGGAAAATGAATACATAAGAAAAGAAAGAGAGCTTAGAAAAGCAAAAGTTCAGAGAGATAGAAAACTTAAAAAAAAAAAAAGAATCAATGAATCCAGACTATTCTTCCAGAGAGTAATGATGGAAGAAAAATATTTTATCCAAAAGTTTCCTGTTGTAGAAACGACTATAGGTGAATTATTTTGCTCTCGTGTGTATATAAGATATTGCCTAATGTCCAGTTTGAGAAACTAATCCCATCCGCTGAAAGATAACTTGGGAATTACCAATCAAGGTTTAGAAGATGTCATTCAACCACCGGACAGATCTTTATTTTGCCGATGATCTTGGATAAGGACATGAAATACAAGCTGACCACTCACCACCATTTCGTCGACTGTAAGTCAGTACATGACAGTATCGGTAAAGAGAGACTGTACGAATCCCAAGAAAACTCACAAGATTTGTAAAGATAACCATGAAAAATTTAAAATGTGCTGTCCGTGTGGGATCAAATCTATTCGAGGTATTTGAAATCAGTAGAGGAGTAACAAAATGAGACCCCCTTGCTTGCCTCTTATTCAATCTGGCATTAGAAACGGTTGTTAAAAAAATTCTAACAACGGACACCATCTTTAACAAAGCTGTACATTTGCGAGGTTAGAACAGGCATTGAAGGAGGAGGTTATTGCTCTTGAAACAGCTGTCAGAGAATTTGACCTCACCACCCACAAGAAAAAACTAAATATATTCGAGTCGGTTGTGGAGGAGGCTATTTCGCATTCCTAGCTATTGGCCCCTAAAAGTTCCAGAAAATGGAGACTTTTGTGTACCTAAGATGAACTCCAGGAACGATGTATCTCAGGGTATCAGCAGACGGATCAATAGTGTAAATAGGTGCCTCCATGGCCTGTCCAAGCGTTTTAAGATCAATACCTCTCCTCCAGTACAAAAATCAACCTTCACAAAAACCTGATACATACGGTGCTCAATTATGGGTCAGAAGCATCAGTAACCACTAAGGCCCACGAGAATAGATTATTGATTTTTGAGATACAGGTGCTCAGGAGAATATTAGGAGCAGTAAGAGAGGGAGAGGTCTGTAGGAAAAGAAAAAAACAGACAGCTCTACAAGACCTTTAAGCATGCCACATCGTAAGGGTTACAAAGTTTGGACGACTCCGTTGGGCCGGTCCTGTGGCTCGAATGGGAGACTCCGAGATCCCAAAAAAGATAATGACGGAGGAAGTGCACTGAGCAGGAAGAGTAGGGCGACCCTGAACAACATCGCGAGATGGTAAGGAAGTCGATGCGAGGAACCTGCTTAACGCCAGCAACTAGAATGCTGCAGCATAAGACATAGCTGTCTGGTGGTGATTGATCAAGGATATCTACAGCCGCTAGCTGGTTGTTGCGTCGAACATATATGTATTTATGTAATTTTAAATAAAGTACACGCTTATACCAAAATATCTTACCTAATGGATTATTTCTAGATAAGTCGAATTTCCCTATTTCTAAAAATTGGCCACCTTTAGCTAAACATCGAACAGATGCTAACAACTTATCTTCCGCTAACGAGTTTAAAACCATATCTACGCCTCTTCCATTGGTTTCTCTCATGATCATTTGTTCAAAGGTCGTGTCTCTAGAATTTCCTATGTGGCTTTCCTTTATCTGCAAATGTTAAATTTGAGTTTTAAATTTAAACAAAAAATTAAATCTAATGTATAGTATTTATACTTGTCTAAGCTTATCAGATATTTTTTACCTGAGGAAAATGTTTTTTTATAAAATCTCGTTTCTCTTGTGTGCCAACTGTTGTGAAAACTGTGCAGCCTTTGAACAATGCTACATGTATCGCAGCTTGGCCGACTCCTCCAGTTCCAGAGTGTATCAAAATGGTATTTCCTTTCTTAATTTTTCCCCTTTCTATAAAAGCATACAGTACCTACGATCCCAAAACAAATATATTTTAAAAAATTGAAATTAAATAATTTTATTTATTCAAGAGCATCTTGTACCAATTAAATGAACTGATATTATTTTTTAAGACGTACGATGGACGGGAAATATAACATCAAAACATGGAATCGTTGTTTATTACAATCTTTCTCAAAGGACATTTATAACAGTGTTCTGAGATCACATTGACACTCTATGTACAATAAAGAAATAAATTATACAGAAAAATAATATATATATACAAGAAGTAAGTATAAAATAACCTAAAAAGAAATAAATAAAAAAGAACACATACATACCTATAAACACTATTTACAATCCGGTGAGAGAACTCCGAGCCAGACTTGTCCCTCCAACTATGGAGGGAAAAGCATGATTCCAGGAGATCCCTGCACATCTTTCTCAACCGCTTCACTGGGGATAAACCCACTGCAGATTGAGCGAGAGTGCTTTAGCCACCTACACTCATGTCGTGAGTGGAGAATCAGGCCATTGCCAATTTAAATTAACTCCAATATTTACAAACTACAAAAGGTCGCGGGGCCACTGCCGTTTTAATATTCTTGGAGGATTAGTTGTGGCTTAGAGGGGGGATAGGTGGTGCTGGATAGGGATTGTGCAAAGGGATTGGGATGATAGGTAAGATTCTGGTGAAATTTGGATAATTTTGCTTTGATAAGGTCTAGGAAAAATGGGATATCAAGGTCATGATGTAGGGTTTGGTTGGTTACATAGAACGGAGCATCAACTATTGTTCGAAGGACTTTGGACTGAAAGGATTGAATGCATTTGATGTTAAAAAATTTTGCTGTCCCCCACAGTTCCAGTCCGCACGTCCAAATAGGTTTCAGTATTGTCTTGTAGATCAGTAGTTTGTTGTCAATTGAAAGTTGAGATTTTCTGTTCAGTAGTCTATATAGCTAGCCATATCGTCGGTTGAGTTCTTGTCTTTAGAGTCTTGTATGTGGGTTCTATGTCAGTCTTTGGTCTAAGATAAAGCCAAGATACCGGATTTTGTCTGAGTAAGGAAGCTGGATGGAATTAAAGTGTACTGGTGGAGAGGAATTGCGTCGAAGAGTAAAGATAATATGTTTGCATTTCGACTCATACACTTTAATGCGCCATTCATTACACGATGTCAAGATGAAGTGTTGTCCTAAGGAATTGAGGAGAGAATTGAATTGGGCATTGGATATGGATCGGTTAGGAGGGCAATATGCTCACGCTAGGGTAACCGGAAAGGAGAAGGTTTTTATTACGATAGCGGTGGACTGTAATGGAAATCGTGTGTAGGTAATGGGAGTAGGTGATGGGAGAGGGATTGGTGTACAATGACAGCAGTACCGGCACGTGCTCTTCCGTCAGGATGGTCATTATGATATCAGTCTTTTAAGTCTAGTATGAGGGTTCTACGTTAGTCGTCTGTCTAAGAGAAAGCCAAGATACCGGACTGTGTCAGGGAAGGGAAGCTGGATGGAATTAAGGTGTACTGGTGGACATGAACTGAGTCGGAGTATGAAGGTAGTGTATCTTTACCTTCACATGGGGTAATACGCCATTTATTATACCAGTGCTCAATCAGGGGGAGGTGTCTTTGAAGGTTTAATGATGCTTTATCAGGATCTGAGTCGGATGATAGAATGGCGGTGTCATCAGCAAACGCCAGGAAGATATCGGGATTGACAGGGATGTTGGCGGTAAAGAAGATGTAAAGGACCGAACACAGTACGCCACCTTGAGGAATACCGGCCTCAATTGGATAGCGATTGAAAAATTCAGTGCCGCGGCGAACTCGGAAGGTACGATCAGAGAAGTAGTAGCGGAAGATAAGGTATAAAGACTGAGGCAGAAGCCTGAGGCAAGTTTGAAAAGAAGCCCGACGTGCCATACCCGTTCATAAGCTTGAGCTATGTCCAGAAATGCACCCGAGCAATAGTGCTTGCTTTCCAGGGCTTTGGAAATATGGTCGACCACTCGAAGTCCTTGTTGGGCGGTGGAGTGTTTGGAACAGAATCCGAACTGATATGAAGGAAGATTTTGAGATTCTATAATGGGTAGGGGAAGTTCTGCGCATGCGCTAATTTATTACAAACTACCTGTTATTTCGTCTCCTACAAGGGATTAAATTACTAGTGAATTAGTCAACTATAGTAATTATAAACAGTGCCACTTGAACAATTAACAATTCGTTCATAAAAAAAAATTTGATCGATCGAAAAGTAAATCGTCATAAAAATTTAATTTTCCTTGAAATCTAAATATTTCAACTACAAAGAAGGCTTTTGAAGAAAAAAAAAAGCACAGGCAGAAGTATATAAAGAAGTAGACTACACTTTTGGAAGATAAGTTGAGTCTATGACTTTGTACTTAAATCTAAGTTTTATTACGCATTTAGATACCAAAAATTTCAAAATATTCATCAGAGGTGGGTGAAAATAACACTGTTAGAAGATCAAAACTACATTTAAAAATGTCTGAATCAGGAAAAAGTAACGCTGTGAACTCCGGAAGTACAAAAACTTTTGCCAATATAATAAAAACTCAAAATCGATCATGTCTTGATACAACACAGCTGGCAAAGCAGTATAATTAATGTACGGTCTTATCGCGGAGCAGAATGTGGGTCGGATCATGAATTAGTAATCGCGAAACTTCGACAAAAACTTAATATAAAAAAGAGAAAAGAAAACCGTTTCGATTTTGAGAATTTTAATTTGGAAAAATTAAAAAATCCATCAATTAGAAACCAATTCGAGCTAGAAGTTAAGAATAGGTTTGAAGCTTTAGAGCTTCCTGACGAGGACCACGAGGATATTGACAAGTTATGGATAGAGATCAGAGATAATATTAAAGCGGTCGGTAACTCGTGTCTAGGAAAAAAGGAAAATAAGAATAACAAATCGTGGTTTGATGAAGATTGCTTAAACATGTGTGAAAAAAGAAAAGCCGCTAAATTAAAAGCTCTAAATAATCCTAGCGAAGACAATCTGGAATACTTCCGAATCTCAAAGAACGAAACGACAAAATTGCTCAAAAATAAAAAAAGGGAGTATCTTAAAAATAAAATAATTGAAATAGAAACTAACAGAATCGAAAATAACGTAAGAGACATGTACAAAGGTATAAACAGATCACGAAAATATGTAGGGCCCGTAACGTCTGGAATTAGGGATGATAATAACAATATTCTGACCGATCCGGCTGACATATTGAATAAGTTTAAGGACCACTTTGACAATATTTTAAATACGGGAAATTATGATCTGTGTCCTCCTTCTGAGTACCAGAGTGCTGAACCGTTAATAGAAGGACCAAGTAAAGAGGAAGTTGAAGTAGCTATCGGAAAATTAAAATCATATAAAGCAGCGGGAATCGATAATATTCCTACTGAACTAATTAAGGCATGCGGAGAAGCTGGAGTTTCTAAAATACATCGGTTGGTTAAAAAGATCTGGGTGAACGAGAAATTACCTGAAGAATGGAAAGAATCTATTCTTATTCCGATTCACAAAAAGGGTCCGAGGACGGATTGTAATAACTATCGAGGAATTTCACTCCTTCCGGTATGTTATAAAATATTCACTTTAATCTTAACCAGTCGAATCACGGAATACGCCGAGGAAATTATCGGAGACTACCAATGCGGATTTAGACGGAATCGTTCGACTATTGATCAAATATTTTCTTTACGGCAAATATTAGAGAAAAAATTGGAGTATAACGGTATTGTTCACCAGCTGTATATAGATTTTAAAAAGGCTTACGATTCTATTGACCGCCAGAAACTGTATAATATTCTAATCGAGCAGGGGATTCCAAAAAAACTAGTAAATCTAGTCAGGATGTGCTTGACGGAGACACTCAATAAAGTTAGAATCGGTAATAATTTGTCCGAAAAATTTGAGGTTCGTTCGGGCTTAAAACAGGGGGATTCTCTTTCGCCTGTCCTGTTCAATTTGGCATTAGAATATGCCATTAGGGAGGTAATGCGAACCGAGAAAGGGTTGGATCTGGGAGGGACAACATCCGTGCTGGGCTATGCTGATGAACTGGTACTGTTAAGCGAAGACGTTGAAACTATAAAACTAAATACGACAACGTTAATGAAAGCCGGGAAAGAACTAGGACTCGAAATAAACGTGGATAAAACAAAATATATGGTTAGCTGCAAAAATGGCAATAGATAGATAGATAGAAGAATCAACTTTATTCTGGGACTACGTCCCTTGAGAATAACAATATTGTACATAAAATTAAACATTACATCTGGCCAAAATGTATATTACAATAAACAAAAACAAACAAACAAACAAAAAAAACAACTAAAAAATAAGGGATAAAAGAAGTGTTTACATAACTGTACAGATATCGGAAGCCATAATATGAGAAATAATGTCCTAATACTGCAAAATAGTTGCTATACACAATACGCTATGAAATTATAAATGAGCGACAAATAATAATAAAGATGTTATAGTAATAGTAGTATGTTCGTAGAACATAATAGTATAATCGAAATACAATAATAGTGTAATCGTACATACACAATATATACACCCAATAATACAATAATAGTGAGAATACAATAATAGTACAATAGTATATATACAATATACATATATTAATATATATATACATATACATACATACACATATACATACATACAATGCAACAATAGTATAATAATACAATATAGGCTACCCAGCGTCTGATTGAATTGTAAGGAGGAATTGGAAAAGGAGGGTTTTAAATGTGGATAAGGATGGTGCATGGCGGATTTTAAGTGGGATGGAATTCCAAAATGTGGTGGATCGGACAATAAAGGAGTGTTGAAATGAGGCCGATTTGTGGAAAGGGGTATAAAGGTCGGAAGGACGAGATCTTGTGGAGAGGGAGTGGATAGATGACTTGAATTGAAGGAGATTGAATGCGTAGGACGGACGATGATTATAGATTATTTGGTAAAGGAATGTACCTAGGAAGTACTGTCTTCTGAAGGAGGGGAAGAGCCACCCTGACTCGGCGTAGTAGTGGGAAACATGAGAACGTCACAATACTACTGGTGATATCGATATAGATGGTAATATGTTTGAACAGGTAGATAAATTTAGGTATCTAGGTTCTACGATAACTAGAAAAAACGAAATTGAAGAAGAGATTAAGGTTAGACTGAAGGCGGGGAATGCTTGTTATTTTTCTGTGACAAAACTACTTAGTTCGCGCCTCTTGTCCCGAAACTTAAAAATTAGAATCTATAAAACAATTATCTTGCCTACAGTTCTTTATGGATGCGAAACTTGGCCGCTTACATTAAGGGATGAGCAGCGTCTTAAGGTTTTTGAAAATAAAGTATTGCGTAGAATATTCGGACCGAAGAAGGATGAGTTAACCGGAGAGTTCAGACGGTTACACAACGCCGAATTGCGTGAGATGTATCCGGGTAATATAATTGATGGTAATTTCATCGCGGCGAATCAAATGGGCTTGTAAAGTTGTTGGGCTTAGTAACGAGAGAATTCCTAAAAGGTTAATATTTGCTGTGCCGAATGGTAAGCGTCCGAGGGGTAGACCGAAGCGAAGGTGGGAAGATTGCATTAAAGCCGATCTGAAGGGACTGGGTTTGGACGGCGAACGGTGGAGGGAGGTGTGTAACAAGCGATTGGTGGTGTCGGCATCGAACCTTCGGGTTCGCTAAGCCTTATTATTATTTATTATTTAATAAAAACTCAAGTTCAACCAACAACACTAAGTATACCCAAAAAAGAACAAGATATCCTACTCTCTGCTGTAAGTGGAATTCCTTTAATAAAGTATATAATAGCAATAGGAGAAATTGTTAGTCCTAAAAATATAATTTTTGAAAATAGAATTTCAAATAGCCATATTGCAATTTTCCTAAACAGTAAAGAAGTTCTAGAAAAACTAACCATGAGTCATAAGGAAATCCAAATAGATAACAAAAACATATCTCTTAAAAAACTAATAAGTCCAAAATAAATCCATCCAAAAGGATTATAATTACCAATGCTCCCTCATACTTGCCACACAACATAATAGAGACCAAATTAAACATTTAATTATTGTCTAGCATTAACTATCTAAAAGCAGGGATAAAATTAGCTGGTTACGAACATGTACACTCATTCAGAAGACAAGTGTTTATCCAACCCGATGAATCAGAACATTTACCTGACAGTATATTAGTGGGCTATGAGGGTGATAATTACAGGCTATACTTAGGAGAAGACGAAATTCGATGTTATATATGCTCCGAAGCTGGACACATCAGCACAAATTGCAAGTTGAATCCAGACCTCCAAGCAAAATCCCTAGAAAAACAAGATACGATTAACCCAGACAACCTAGATGATCAGGAGAAACAAAAAGGACTTTTTCCTGACCTCATTACCAATAAACAAAACAAAAAAATTATAGAAAAAGAAAATCAAAAAAACTCTATTGTGAATGTAAAAGACATAGCGATGACAAATGCTCATCAAAGTAGCATGAACGAATGAGTGAACCACCATTAGAGGAAACACTAAAACAATTTTTTTTAACCGATTTTAAACGAAACTTACTATAACCTCTCAAATAACAATACAGATTCACTCACTGAGTCTGAATCAGAAATAGCTAAAAATAAATAATTAAAGAAAGCTGAAAAAGATATTACAACTATACGAGAGCAATTCTTGCAGGTCAAAGAACTGATCGAAAATAATAGTGACAAATATCCCTCAAATGTTGACACCTTCTGTGTTTTCGCAATCCTATAAACACTATTAAACTATTCACTCCTGAGTTCAGTGTAAGCATTGGAAGAGATAAGACGTACCTCTCTGGTTGCTCACAGATAAGAATATATACATTTATACATATATATATATATATATATATATATATATATATATATATATATATATATATATATATATATATATATATATATATATAAATTTCTTTCTCTTATAATTTTTCACTTATTATTTTTAATTACTATAAGGTTATATTTATTTTTTTTATAAAAAAAAATACTTCATTTCATCTTTTTTTTTCTTTATTACTTGATATTTTAAATAATTATATTACGTTTTATTTTATCCTTTTATGGGAGATCCTATAGATTTAAATAGACCAAAGGCTAAACGATAACGACCTCGGGGTCACCTTAAATTTGAAGCAGAAAATAGGAATGGTGCGATCCCAATTAGCCCATCTTTTTTAATAATAGAAAAATCAGATGATCAAAATTTTCAAAAAGTATCTCCATTCTTAATAAATAAGTTTCGTTCAGGTTTGGTGGCAGACTTAAATGTAAAAAAGCTATGAAATGGCACATTACTTATTGACACCAAAAACAGTAAACAGTAATTATTAAAATGTAAAAATTTTGGTGGACGATTTCCGGTTGAGATATCCCCACAATACCTTAAATTACAGTTAAGGGGTGATGCGGCATTACGACCTCCAATTTCTGGAGATAGATGAAATTAAAGAAGAATTATCTCTAACGATAAATGATATAATACGTATTAAAATAAAAAAACAATGGAAATGAAATATTGACAAATTCTTATATCGTCACATTGCCTACACCGAGAATTCCGGAAACAATCAAGATAGGATTCCATACGGTCAAGGTACAGAATTATATCCCTACTCCCCTACGCTGCTTCAACTGCTTATGTTTTGGCCACCCTTTGAACGTTTGTAAACAACAAAGCAAATATATACAATATAGGGAAGCAAAACACGAAGATAATGTGAGATGTACACGCCTAGCCCACTGTGCAAACTGCTCCCTAAATCACAACTCGTTAGATCGTCGGTGTCCTATTTTTATAATATAGAAAGAAATAAAAACCATCCAACCCATAAATAAATTTTTTTTTTTTTTTTTTCTTATGCCAGTCGTTGGTCATTTGGCCATCCGACATCTTGCTGCCCAGTATAATTTAGACTTTCTGATATGTATATTCGAAAATATTTTGTCTCTTATGTCCCTCAAGGCAGGACATGCGTCTAGATGGTCTGCATCCATTGTTCCTAGATGACACAATTTACAGGTAGGATCCTCAGCGACGCCTATTTTGTAGAGATGACTTTGCAGATAGTCGTGACCAGTGGCCAGGCGGAAGCAGGCAACTGCATCTCTTCTCGGCAGCTCAGCTGGAATCGGATTATCCTTCAACCACTCGTAACGCTTCCCTTCCACTTTGCCGAAATGTACTTTTCTTATTTCCTCCTTCACTACCATCTTCACCATTCGCCGTATTGAGTCGTAAGGTTTTGGATGTATCGGCTGAGGCAAATCTGTTCCTCGCTTGGCAAGAATATCAGCCTCAACGTTACCCGGAATCCCACAATGGCTGGGGATCCACTGTAGGACCACATTGGTGCCTCGGTGTGTCAGGTTAGAGAGGAGGGATTTACATTCCAATATAGCACTCGATAAACATTCATTCGTGCTTGTAACAGCAAGGATGGCTGCTTGGGAGTCGATGAAGAGAACAGCGCTCTGATCCTGCCTTCCAGACAATGTTCTTAAGGCTATGAGGTAAAATATCCTTAAATGAATCAGTTTGCTAGATCCTTTGCTGAAATTACAAAACAATATCGAAAAGAAAGAAATTGGTATCCAAACAAAATTATTATTTAATTTTGGAGAAAACATCTATAATACCACCTATACAGCTAACATTATAAATACCCATCCTATCCACTCCCTATCCCCTCCCCCTATCCCTCTCCCCAACACTCCTCTGGTCCCAATTCCGGTCCCCTCCCACCCCCACCACCGGCCGTCCCTCTACCCTCGCCACCGACCACTCCCCTTCTTCCGCCGCCAGCCGCCTCCCTAGCGGCCCCGAAGCCTCACCGCAAGTCCAGATCAAATTTAGGAGTCGGGCAGATCCTCTACCTTCTCTTTTTTCTCAAGATCATGTCCTTCAAAATCATCAGAAGCCGCGTCTGCGATCGTAGGTTCTGACCAAAACTCAGATATCGATCCGGAAGGAGAGTTCACTATAGTACATAACAAAAAACAGGGCAATCGTGATAAAAAGAAAACCTAAAAACAAAATATATGATTAAAAATTTTTATTTTATTTTTTACTTATTTTATTTTATTTTTTTCATAAAAAACAAATCTGTATAATGTCAATCCGTACCCTAACATATATTATAAATTGGAAATATAAATATTTTCATTCCGATAAACATATACTTCCCTATTACAGCAACAAAAATAAAAAAAAAAAAGTGTTATTTACAACGCTCGAAGCATTTAGTTATTACCACCAGCCATAACAATGAACATCTACAGAAAGTTCACTGTCGCAATCATAAACAAACATCACACGTTTTTCTTATTCTATTACTATAAAAATATATCTCATTTTTCTATAATAAATACATACTCTTTGTTCACAAACCTATTTATCTATAGAGCATACATTTATTTCTATTATATGAATATGTGTACATGCACGTATGCATATGTGAATAACTTTGTTATACATTCCTATGCATAACATAGGCATTGGAGAGGTAAGGATGTCGTATCCAGGTGATTTGCGGACAGCTAATTTTTGTAAGTGGTATTTGACCTCAGAAGGATTAACTGCTTCAAGTAATAATGTAAGGAGAGTTGGATGGGAGAATTAAGGAATTCCTCTACTGCTGATGTGTGGGTGCGGTTGGATTTCGGATGAGAGGTGAATGTAAGGGAAAGGTGTTTGGCGAATTCCTCGGCTCTATCTTCGCCAGACGCTTCCAAGAGCCATCATCTCGACGGAGAGGATGTGATATACACTAAAGGTTGGCTTTGGGTAAAATTACAGGCTGCATATCTTTCGTTTCTTCTTCTCCACACCCTTTCACGCCCGTCTGGAGATAAAGGGTAATTATTAATTATTTAATTATTGACTCAAACTAATTATTTATTAATTAATTGGGTGATTATTGACTCAGATAAAGAGCAAATATTGACTCATCTGTAAAAAGTACAGCACTCCATTCGTCCATAGTCCAATGGCTGTGTTCTCGAGCAAAAGCCAGCCGTGTTACTCTGTGAGTTTGGTCAACTCTGGTCCTCTTACTGGACGAAAAGCCATTAATCCATACTCATTTAATCTTCTCCGAGCGGTACGTTCAGAAATTTGCACACCTCGAACTTCTTCGAGCTGATGAATCGCTTGAACAACGGTAAGGTGCCGGTTTCGTAAAATTCTCAAAGTCAAAAACCGGTCATCCCGTGGTTCTGTTACCCTAGGCCGTCCAGAACCGGGCCTTCTATTGTAAGAACCAGTTTCCCGAAAACGCCTGACGGCGTCTCGTAAAGTTTCATATGGAACTCCGATGGCATTAGCTGCATATCTAATGGAACGTCCATCATCAATAAGTGCCACACCACGCGCAACATCCTCAGCACTAAGAGGCATTTTTAAACTTAATATTGAAAAAATTAAAAGCCGGAGACTAAGAAATGTGCTGCAAGAAACGGCACTGAACTAATGATACTGAATAAACATTTTGATTCCATAGAAAGTAAACATTGGAATCTAGAATCATTTCATTGAATTAAGGATTAAGGGTTATTGTCCTCTATATTAACATTCCTAATTGAAAACAAACAAAAAGATTACCTATTTATTCATTAAAAACAATAGACCAATCCAAAGCAGAAATATTTTTAGATGAAAACATGAAAAAATCAAGTGGGTGGAATTTTTCGCCTGTCAGTGTATGATGGGGTTTTAAGATTTTTTTTAGTGATCTTCGATAGGGAATTGTCATGAACAGAGAGGGAAGTAAGGTAGGAGTTGAAGGATTGGGATCTGAAGGTGACCAATTCCAGCTTTAATTGCTTGCAGAAATAATTAGAGAATTGACGATCGGTGGATGTAATACGTTGCCATAATAATCTGGCACGGTGTGGATTTGGTCTATGAGATGTTGAGGTAGCTTATTTTTCTTGGGAGTTCTTGAGGAGTGGTTTGGAGAGGAAGCAATTTTGTTGTATAGTGCCAGATTGCTTGTTGTATAGTGGAGGAAAAAAAATGTACGGCGTTGTCAAGTTCTTCTGGGGTTTTCAGGGTTATTCTGAGGTCAATTTTATCGGAAAGGATTTGGTGAAAGAGTTTGCAGTTAACTGGGCCTCTGAAGGACGGCGGAGAAGGGTTAGGAATAGGAGCTAGAGATAATTGGATTAATAATGAACTATGATCTGAGGAAATTTCGTCAAGACGGGTAAGGGAATGATTGAGGGTACCTAAGCCACCGTGGATGAAAAGATCAAGGATATCGGGATTGCGTTTAGGATCTGTGGGCCAGTAGGTAGGGGAGTTAAGAGGAAGGAAACTGTACCGTTGGGAACTGAGTAAAGATAACTGTGTTCTACCACGAGAATTCGTGGTTCTAGAGCCCCATTGATGATGTTTGGCGTTTAATTCTTCAAATAGAATGAAGTAAATTCCTAAGGAGTTGAGAAGAGAACTGAGCTGGACATTGGATATGGATTTGTTAGGAGGACAATATGCTGATGCTATGGTGATGGGAAAGGAGAACGTTTTGATTACGATGGCGGTTAATTGTTGAGTCGGTAATGGGAGCTGGTGATGACAAAGAGATTGGTGTACAATAACAGCAGTACCGACATGTGCTCTGCGGATGGTCATTACGGTATGTTATGTATTGAGGTATGTTTTAAAGCTGTTTCCTGGTCAGTCGAGTTTCCGTAATTAGTGCTACGTCGATGTTCTTGTCCAGTTGTAAAGCTGTTAGTTCGTCAACGTGATTTCTAACACCATCCGCATTCCAAAGGAAAATGGATATGGGTTTTGGGATGTGAGTCATTAAGGATTTTTTAAAGGAGGGATGAGGTGAGATACGAGATTCGTGAAGAGTGATATGAGTGGAGTAACTAGGGATTTGAAATTCGGTGAGGTAAGATGCTAACAAACTGGTGAGATCTATTGCATTTGAACGTTTCTAGGTATTTTCCTAAAGGGATCGTTCCATACTGACGAAGGAGCTAATTCCGCAATTGGGCTTTCAGCCTTTCTCTCAAATACACGCTATGATTTCAGCACGTAACTATGCATATATATATATATATATATATATATATATATATATATTGACCTAGGTGGGAATCGAACATACACCACTCTAAATCGGTCATTGTGTGGTGTTTCCTACTCCGACCAGCTTGGCCTCTTCTAGAATTCTAAAATTCTGGTGAAGAATCATATGAACAGCATTTAGCTCTTAACGCTATCTACCTAGTGTACTTACTACAAGCTTGGTGAGCTTTCGTCTTTTATTGAGATGTTTAGCTATATATTGTTGTGTTAATTAGATGCTGCAATAGAATAATATAGTCCTTACCAAAACGGACTAATTCATTTTTTTTTCTCGACGGAAATTCAGTGGGATTTTCCAGGATGGAAACTGGAACGAAGACTACATTTGCAGCGTCCCATTACTAGTGTTGCCCAAATGCGAGACCGAGGTGAGTCTTGGTATTGCGTAAGAGTCTCACAACAGTCTTACAGTTACGTATTAGCTTATAATATAGAGATATTACTGTAATTTTTTAGATAGGAGAAACCTTACTAAGCCCTAATGAAAAATTAGAAGAGTTAAATGCAAAAGAATATTGGTTATACCAATTCTTTACATATAGCAACTAAAATTGTCAAGTATTATTAACTATTTTGCCTTAATTTTTATTCTAAAAGTAAATTTTTTTTTACTAGTCTTGGTCTTGGTCTTACAACAGTTAAGCGGATTTTAAGCAACACTACCCATAAAAAAATATGTGTCTGACATTAGTCACAGGTTAAAGCAGGCTGTCAGAGCGATTCCAACTATGAGTCTTTCATGAGATATTGAAGGACTGATTAATCATTAAAGTATAGAAAGCATATTGATTCACCAACTCACAGTTGCGTACACCACTGGAACAGTTACAGCATCTTCCATGGTCCAATTATCAGGAATATCCCATGTAAGATTTCTATGGGCGGCAACAATGGAACTTAGAGCTCCAGATTGGGAAATACCAATGACCCGTTTTCCATTCTTGTCAATGCCACCAAATTCGAAACCAATAACACAGGACTGAAACAAAAATAAAAACATTATAATATATACTATTGTGCTATTAGCTTTAAATATAACAAAGAAAATACAAAGTGGTCAAATTTACTTGTGCTTTTCTATCTGTGACGATGACTTCTGCTGCTAATTTCCCAGTAGCTAACATGACATCTCGGAAGTTGAGAGCAGTGAATTGAATAACCACCTTATCATCTCCACTATAATTGATAAAATAATGTTGTCATATTATTTTAATTAATTTTACGATATATAAATCTAAAAAAAAAAATAAATTGATAAACTTACTTCAAGTCTGTGATAGGCCCTTGAATCCAATTCAAGCTGGATAGATCACCTCGGGTTAGGAGATTAGTGAATACGTGGAAAGCTGGTTTCCTGGTCACCTCTTCAATTTTAAAATGTCTATAAGTTCCCCATTTGCCATTTTTAACAATGTTTATCGCAAGGTCTTTTGCAAGCTGTTCTTTATAAAATGTATTTTCGAGTTGAAATTCAGGAATTGAGTTGTCTAATAGAAGTACGCATCTGAAATACAATTCGAATGATTTTAATAATTTGATTGATAAATTTACAAGCATTGATAAATAACTGTTAATTTTTTCTCAACAAATAATGCAAATTAGAAAACAGAGTATTGGACATTTTTACTGGAAGAGTATAAGCTATTCCAAAAGAACAATACATAATAAACATTTCGGATTCATAAAATATGGGAATGGATTAATTAAGGGGTAACTAATATCTAATGAAGATGTCTATAGGAAACCTAGGTCTCAGTTTGAGTGCGGCAAGAGCTGAAAATGTTCGTAGAATAAGCATCAAACCCATTTTTGGGTTTGAGAGTTCAAGCGTGGATGATGACATCACCACCTTGAGTAATGATGAAAAACACTTCTTGTCCTTGCTAATTTCATTTGTTATTTTGAATAATTTCGTTAGCATAAACATATTATAAGGCATTAATAATTGAATTAAAATTTTATTTTATTTGGCATTCCTCAACCAAATGCACTACAGATAGTGTTGCAGTCTTGTTCTTGCAAACTCAGCCTTGGCCATGGTCTTGATCTAGCGCAAGAGTGCCGCAACAGTCTTGCAGTTACTTATTAGCTTATTACTATAGAGATATTACTGTATTTTTTTAGATAGGAGAAACTTAATTAAGCCCGAATGTAAAATTAGACTTAAAATTTCCAGGAGTTAAATTAAAAGTATATTGGTCATACCAATTATTAACATATAGTAATTATGATTGTCGAGTATTAGTAACTATTTTGCCTTAATTTTTATTTTAAAAATCGATTTTTTTACTGGTCCTGGTCTTGGTCTTGCAACAGTTAGGCGGTCTTGGTCTTGCTCTTGCAAATTGCAAATTTGCAAATTGCAAGACCAAGACTGATTTTGGGCAACACTAACTATAGATAGCAGAAGATGTAGCATCGCTTTCTTTGATTAGCTTTAATTTTCATAATCAAAATGTTTAAACCCTATGCCAAAAAATGGTATATTTTATCTTATAAAATACATATGATATGTTACTATTGCAGTATGTTTTTGGTGGATAATGACTTTCCGATACATAGAGCTCCCTCATGGGAGAAGGGGTTGCCGGACCCAGGGTACCAGGGACCTTGGCTTGATCGGGTCCGGTCAAAATAGTAACCTTTTATTATTGATGTTTTAAAAGTGGTTTCAAATAAAAATGTAAAATATAGGAAGATGTTTCGTATAAAATAAAAATATCTACCATCATTATATATTTACACACACATATACATGTAACATTGGTCTGTCAATTGACTTGATGGTCGGTAATTGCGCTTTCAAAATTAGGTTCAACGTTGGTTGGTTCTGTGTATCTCGTAGTTAATATCTTTTTGGGTCAATATTTCTACTAATTAAAGTAAATCATAACTGACTGCAGATAAGTATCAACATTAATATCATCATATGTATAATAGCATTATTTAAAAAAAAAAAAAACCTGTTGGGTAATGTTTGAGGCTTGTCTTAGGCCTGAGTGTGACCGCAACCCTTTCTTTTCCATCTTGAGCCCGCAGCCCTTACTGATCAGCTTTAAAGGCCCTTACCAGGTCCTTCCTGGTAGGAATACTTTTACGATCAATGAAAAAATCATATCTGATGCTTTTTCCCCGAATCTTTATCTTAAAATTCTATATTTCTTTTTATTATTTTTCTAATTAAAAAATAGTACATTCTGCAACACTTAGAGCACTAACAATAAGCATTAGAGCTGTGTGATACATTCATATCTTATACAAAATAAGATAACAACAAAAACAAAAGAAAAAATATAAAAAAAGCAAAAGAAAAATTGTAACAAAAGAGAAGAAAATTATGAAAATTTAAAATAAAATAAAAAACACATTCCTACTTATTTGCAATATTTACAGTGGGCCTAGTGAGCTCAAAGTCTGTCCTTTTCCCCACTTGTGGAGAGTCAAGGTAACACTCTAAGAGAGGGGTCTTCAAACATTTTGGCCTGCGGGTCACTTTGAGACTATACTACCAGCGGATCGTGGCTTGTGATAAAAAAAAATAAAAACTGTTTCTATAAGTGACGCATTTGTTGTGAAATGTGCTTTCTAAGGGAAAAGCCCATATAATAAATGTTTAAGTAACCTCCTGTGTGAGTAATTTGCTAAACTTCATATTTTAAAAATGGTTTTATAATTTTACCCTGTTATAAAAGGAACTTTCGCCGGATCTAAATGCTTGCGGACGGGTAGTTTATTGACGCATACTTTAAGAGACCCCAGCGCATATCTAAGCCATGTCACCGGTATTAGAATCCATTGTAGACAGAATGACCATTGTATATTAATAAACTATTTGTAATGTAAAATTGCTTTTTTTATTTTTTAATCATTTTAACGTACACGACAATAATGGCACTTCACATCTTTAAACTACATAAAAACATTTTATAGCATACCTTCAATTTAAACGTTAAAATTTAAAAGTATATCACTAATAAGCTATTATACTATGATGACTATAGTACGTTTTAATGAGTTCTTTAACATTAACTTTAACATACGGTTTAAAAAACCGTATATTCGCTCTCTACTCACCAAATTTATATTATGACTAAATAAATATTAATTAAAACAAATATAAAATTCAAGAAGAATGTAGTAAAAGCATGTAAAAGGGCGTCCTTGAAATAAATCCACGATTATTATTCAATACATATAATGTCGAGGCCATAACTAATTGAGAGACTACTATAACAAACCTGTACTATAACAACAAAAGGCATGCTAAGAGAAACAAGTTACAGTTGAATTAAATAGTCTTGATAATACCATTAGTCAAAATCAAACTGGATACAAAGAGTATTCAGAAAAAATAATTATAATAGTAATAGAATAAATAAAAATCCTAAAGTATTTGTACGGTTGTTATAACTTACTTGGCTTTCTGACCTTCAGACTCTTTCCTGATGCAGTTAACAAAACCGAGAACTCCATTTTGTTCCTCAAATGGGCCGAGGAAGATAACCTTTGTACACTCCTTTGATTTAAGTGCGTTCTGAGATGGAACAATCCAACTGTAATCTTCGTCAGATACTGTAAATACACTTGTCGTTCCGGTTTCAGCTTTATTCGCCTAAAATGAAATCGGTAAAATTAGAAACTTGATGAAACAATAGCAGTAGCAGGTAAGTTAACAATATGTTTAGAAAAATTTTCTGTTAAAAAATTGTAGACTGTAATGTACATTCATAATACTGTATGAAACCCAAAATTATGTTCATAGACTGAGAAAATACGATCTTCCCTGAATAATTTGTTGTTTTATATTATATAGGTGTCATATTGTTTTAATTATTTTAATATGACTAAACAATAATTTTATCGATTGGATTGGCATAAAATTTCATCAATTTAAATATATAAGGATGCTTTAAAATGTGATACAGCTCCGAAACGTCAATGCATTATAAACAAATAAAATAAATTATTTAATCATTAGGGGATATATCTATCCACATTCCACTGCCTTATTCATTAATTTTCACAACTGCCAAACCTTACACTGGTTAGGAGCTTAGCAAGAAGTAATAAGCGAGATCTGGAATGATGCACCTTTCTCTCCAGAGGCGAGAAGATTCCATACAACAATATTTTTTGCATTTATCACTAACCACCACTACGTCAAAGCTGAAGAGATGAAGTGTGTATTTTGGAGTCGATCGCACAACTCAATTAACTCAAACTGAAATTCAATGCTCTGAGAATTAACAACGGATCCAGATTGCTTAAGGAAGTTTGAAAAATGTTATTTTCTAATTTCTGATGTTAATCGGATCTTTCGAGTTCACTGTGGTACAGACTTTTCCAATTCCTACCCAGTTGAAGCTGGTGTTTCTCAAGGTAGCGTCTTGGGCCCCGTCCTATATTTCCTGTTTTACCGCCGATATCCCTGTCTATCCTGATACCTTCCCGGCAACATTTGCTGATGACACCCCCATCCTATCATCAAACTCAGATCCCGAAATAGCATCTTTAAATCTACAAAGACACCTCTCTCTGATTGAGCACTGGTGCAACAAATGGCGCATCAAAGTAAACGAATCCAAATGCAAACACATTACCTTCACCCTCCGGCGCAGATCCTGTCCACCAATCCAGTTTAATTCCATCCAGCTTCCTTTTTCAGACACATTTCGGTATCTTGGTTTTCTCTTGGACCGCAGACTAACGTGGAATCCACATATTAGACTTAAAAGACAAGAACTTAACGGACGACCTATTATACAGACTACTGAATAGAAAATCTCAACTTTCAATTGACAACAAATTACTGATATACAAGACAGATCTTGAAACCTATTTGGATCTACGGACTTGAACTTTGGGGGACAGCTAAATTTTCTAACATCTAATCCTTTCAGTCCAAAATCCTCCGAACAATAGTCGATGCTCCGTTCTCTGCAACCAACAAAACCCTACACCATGACCTTAATATCCCATTTGTCCTCGATCTTATCCCTGAAAATTTTCCAAATTCTATCAGAATCTTATAAATCATCCGAATCCCCTAGCACAATTCCTATCTAGTTCCACTCATCCCTACAATCCTCCTCGAAGGTTGAAACGGCAGTGACCCAGAGATCTATTGTAGTATATATGTTGGAATTCTGGCAATAGCTCAAGACATGAGTGTATGTGGCTAATGCGCTCTCGCTCAAACTCCACTGGCATTAGCAACAGTGACGCGGTTGAGAGAGTAGCGCAGGGATCTCTTGAAGTCCCGTTTTTCCTTCTATAGTTGGAGGGAGAAGCCTGGCTTGGGGTTCCTGCCTGATTGTATATATGTATATAGGTATGACTGTGTTTTTATGTTTTTAATTTATTTATCTTAGGTTGTTTTATTTTTTATTGTACATAGTTTTTGATTATTATTTTACTTTTGTTAATTTTATATTTTCTGTATATATGGTATGAATGTGTTATATCATATATCACTATAATTATTGTCCACGTGACAGATTTTTATATTTCTAAATAAAAAAGAAACTCATCATTAAATTTCTGATGTCGGTTACGGCGGGCTACAAAAACGAGTGAATCACACAATAAAAAAACCCTGCAACAGAGTGTTACTTTACTTCACGGACATATCCGAAATATGGTTTGTCCTAAAGTATAATGGTATTAATTTCTCCTGTTTTCATTACAAATCTAATTTCCTGTTCTTTTTGTAAATTCATAGAAAAAAATTGGGTTAAATAACAACTTGTGCCTCGGGGAGCGGGGAAAGTTACCGCTACGTTTAGGCCCCTGATACTGATAGAAAACAAGTTCTTACATAGGAATTATTATTATTTCTAACTTAATTTCTTGTTATTGTTAGAAAAATAACATAGAGATTCGAAATTTATCGGGGATGGAGGAAAATGAAAAGTACATCATGGTATAAGGGATATATAACCCTTAGACATAAAAAAGCTGGTGTGCGCAACACACAACATTCACTTACCTCTCTACTTTGAAGAGAAATTATTTTCTGGCAATGTTGAGAAATTATAAAATTTTTGAAGTACACTTTTAACGGAGCTATAACTTAAAGTTAACAGCTAAAAAATCCTTAAGACCACTAAAATAACAAAAACCATACTAATTATACCACCGGTAGACAATAAAAACCTCAATAATCCATCTGTTTTTGTAAACCACATACATCCAGTCTCAGAGCTAGATATATATATGAAAGGGGGGGGGAGATTTAATATCACTTTAGGGTCGATCACCCTAAAGTGATATTAAATCTCCCCCCCTTTCATATGGTACAACAAAACTATCGCCAAGGCAACACTGTGGCGACGGTGGTGCCGTCTGCAATAAAATAATAAGAAATAAAATGGACGACTGAAGCCAAGAGAGAACTTCTCTTCCTTCTTCTAGATTGTACTTTTCTTGTTTTACAATTAGAGGTGGAATGGAAGAGTAGAACACTCAAAACTTGCCGGCCCGTGGAGGTGAGAGAGAAATAGAAGTGTGACAGACGGCCGACCACCGTACCTCAGTCAGCATGCATCCACAGCAAGTAACATATTGTAAAACATTTATACGCTAAACCCCCATCTCCATGTAATATTAAATACAATTATATTTATATCAATCATACAGTCCACTGAATTCCTCTTCAAGCTCAATCATCTTATGTACCATATCATATAAAAAATGAAGGTATAGATCCCAGTTCATGGTCCACCGGACCGAGATATTTATTCTTAGTCCTAATTCACATTTTATTGTATAAAACACATTCATCTGAGCCATCAATTAGCCATTACCTGACAATTAACTTGTAATTTTCATTCAGTTTAAATATCAAATATCAAGGGTTTATTTTCTAATTGTATTTTCAATATGCATTTTATTGTCTAAGTAGAATCAGCAATTTATTAATTTATTGTATCAGCATTTCCTATCTGTATATAAATATCTTGCACAACATATTTAGTTAAATGGCTCTAATAATATTAATTTACTATTTCAATTGTGTTAATTTATTTCATGATAAAATTTTTTTGGTACTTCTTGACTAGCACTGACTGCTATCTGCCAATGCTTATTAACCTGAACACTGATAATTCCGATAACGCAGTGATAAGCCTTCTCCTACTTCCTATCTTGATATTATTGTATTATATTCGTATTATTGAAAGTGTAAACAGATACAAAAACAAATATAATAACAAAAAAAAACTTTTATTTTACGACACATACATTAATGAAATAATAAAAACACTTTAAGAAGATGTGTACATATAAAAGATCAAAATGAAATAATAAAAAACACTTGAAGAACATATGTAGATACAAAAGATGAAAATGAAATAATAAAAAAACATTTAAAGAACATATTTACATAGAAAAGAAAAAATATCAACACTATAAACAACATATGTACAATTTATTTTCACTTTGTCTTATTTATTTTGGAAGGCAAAATTGTTTTATGCTATTTAAAATAGCGAGGAACGGGTCCTCTTCTCTGTGAACCCGCCGCCACGAAAATTCGCACAAATATGAAATGAGTTGTTGTCTGGCAGTTCCTCTATGTACTTTATTTCTAAATTTCGCTGAGCTCCATAATCGTTTTATGTGTTGAGTATGAACCCCAGTTGATGGATCGACAAAATTATACCGGTAATTCACTTGGAAATGGTTATAGTTTGCTTCGTTCAGTTGTCGGGTGTTGTATCCTTTACAACAGTCCGAATAAATGGCCGTTCCCTCTTCTATATTGTCTTTAATTGCTGTAATAAGGTTGTTGCTTTTCTGTCATTTATTTTGACGATAAAACACTTATCTGTTTCTCGGAAAACTCCACCAAACATTCATTGCTGAGGTAAAACTCTCCACACATGATTTTTTCGTTTCTCTATGTTTGTCTAGACAGGGAACCCCCTCCATGTTAGTTTCCCGCCTCGCGGTACCCCAAAGAGGTAGTAGGTCTTTCCAGTCTTCTTAGTCAAGAGCTAGCATACCTGTGACTTCACCGTGTACTATTTCTTGTGACTTCACAGCTTTTCTGTGTTCGTTTCAAACGTTAGTTCTTGTGATAATCTTATTGTTCATTGAATTCTTTATATGCTTGAGAATGTTTGAATTTATTCTTTGTGATTTGTTTATTCTCTAGTTCTTATTCACCTTTCTATGATATGGTTGAGTTATTATTAAATCTTCACTTTGTGATTTTCTCTCCTATTTTTTTTTTTTTTTTTTTTTTTTTTTTGTCGGCCGTCTTTTCCTTTGTCGTCCCACCTTCTGTCCGATAGGTAGCCTATTATTTCATACTATATTGATTTAGTTTGCCTATTTTATAATGTTTTCTTGATTCTCACAATGCCTAAAGTACATGGAAACAAGAATCCTTTTGGAGAAGGTGAATCTCCAGAACCTACTTCAGAAAGTAGAAAGGAACACACCGTGAATTCTACCACCCTTGAGCGCATGCTCACTGACTTCAAACTTATAAAACAAGCGATTTCTAAAGTTGAAGAAGAGAACCTTGTTGGTCGAGCATTCTCTGTTTTTAAGGCCAAATTGCTTGCTGCCGAGTCCTATTGGTCAAGATTCCAGGCCGCATGGCACGAGAGCACTGAGTTGCAAGTGCTTATAGGAGAATCGGACGATTTCCCATCCAACTCCTGGAGGGATCGCCACTCTGCTTTGCAGAATGAGATCATTGAAGCAAACACCACCCTTCTATAGATCGAAGAAACCCAAGCAGCACAAAGACAATCGGCAGTTTCTCATCCTGGTTAAGCACTGCACTCCACTATCACCACTTCTTCTAAATCTCAACTTCCGAAAATCCCGATTCCCACGTTTGCCGGCGATATTCTGAAATGGACACATTTTCGAGACTCCTTCGCCTCTATGGTGAACGAGGAGCCTGGTTTGTCAAATAGAGAAGTTCCATTATTTATTAGGAGCATGAAAGGAGAAGCCACTGCTCTCATCTCTCGCTTTCCCGTCGAAGATAGTTCCTATGTCCAGGCTTCGAGAATAATTGGAGAAGATCCTCAAAACCTATGACAACTCTAGAATTTTGACCAGCCTTCTCATACACCGTATGGTGGATTACGAAATCAAGACAAACCGGACCGAACTTCAACGCTACGACGACTTAATGACGTGGCTGAGCATTGGAGAATCCTGAAGAGTTTCTTCTATCCACTCTAGCATTACGAGCCTTGGATGCAGACACACGAAAGCACTTCGAGATGGACCTCAAATCAACTAAGGAATTCCTGACCGCCGATGATGTCATAAATTTCGTGCGGGACCGCAGGACAGCACTAAAGATAGTACAGGACAGCACTCAGTGCTTCGAAAGTATCTTCTATCATCAGCAGGTCGTCAAATAGAGTTTCTCCCAATCCTCGCTACACCTCAAGAAGTCCCGTCAAGTACAATCCCTTTTATCTTTATGCCAGTTCTATGAACGAAGAATATAAGAGCGGAGGTCACCAACCAAGTGGAGCAACAAGCCCGCAGAGTCATCGAACGCCTTCTACTTTGCAGAAGAATATCAAATGTCTCCATTGCCAAGAAACACACTTAGCTCAGTGCCTAAGATTTCAAGATTTTCTGCCCAGTAACAGAACAGAGCTTGCAAGGTCTCTCCGCGTGTGCTTCGATTGTTTAAGAGCAGGCCACGGGGTAAGCTCTTTGTTCCTCCACATACAGGTGCAGACATTGTAAGAGGAAGCATCACAGTCTCATTCACTCCCATATCAAGAATGCCACTCCAAACGGAGCCTGAAGCTTTCATAAGATTTGGATTGACCCGCCAGTCTCCGAACTCGACCAATTTTACGATTATGCTTGGGACCGCTCAGTTCCTTGTAGTGAATGACAAAGTAGATGTTCACACAGCTAGGGCGGTTCTTGACCCAGGAAGCAAGCACACATTCATAACTACATCTATGGCGAACAAACTCAATTCGAAGATCTTTCCCTTCAAAGGCTGTATCACAAGCCTCGGCGAGTCTGCTCTCCCCTAGTCACAGCTTAGAGGTTCCATGGATTGTGACATCCGATCCTTGCGAGGCAATCGTGAATACCAGATGAAGCCTATCGTGATTGGTCGAATAACGGCTGGCCTTCCAGGTCGCAGTTTGCCTATGAGTGCCCACGAACGTTTTCTTCACCTCCCCCGGGCTGATGGCAACTTCGGGTGCCCAGGACCAATCGATCTTCTGATTGGCGGTGACATTCATCCTCGAGTCATTTCTGGAGCATCTTGTCACTTAAAACGAGGTACCACCAAACTCCAGCTTCCCATTTTTTACGGAATCCCAGCTCAACGTAGAAAACCAGCTTTTGAAACGTAGAAAACGGTTTTGGGAGATTGAAGAGCCACCGCCCGTAGACAGGAGCGACCCTCAAGAGAAATTCTTCGAGGATCATTTCCTTCGCACACACTCGCGTTCCCCTGATGGCAGATATATCGTCAGACTTCCCTTCAAGAAGGACATTTCCAAGATAGGACAGAACAGAGAAATGGTCTTTCGACTATTCTACATCTTCGAACACAAACTTTCAAAGAATACCATGCATTCAGAAAGGTACTCAGAGTTCATGACAGAGTATCAGAAGTTAGGGCATATTTCACCCGCAACAAGGGAGTCTTCTTATCTCATACCCCACTACGGAGAGTGGCAGGATGGTGCATAGGGCCGTAAGTTGCGAATGGTTTTTGACGCCTCGTGTCAGTCTTCGGCTCAAAGCTTGAACGATGCCCTTCTATCAGATCCTGGTCTGCAGGGCGACCTGTGCAACATCTTGATTTACTTTAGGCTCTATGTCATATCACTCTGTGCGGATCTCGTAAAAATTTATCGCCAGATTCTGCTATCCACTCGACAGAAGATTCCAACACATTCTTTGGAGGGAAAGGTCATCCGATTGCGGAATTTGAATTGATCACCGTCACATACGGTGTCAAGTCTAGCGCATTTCAAGCGGCCAGAACCATCAAGAAACTAGTCATGGATGAAGGCCCAAATTATCCTATGGCAGCAAACCGGGTCCTGAAAGACATGTACGTAGACGACATCGCCAGCGGCGCCCATACCATGGAGGAGGCCATGCAACTGCCATTCAAAATACAGCGGCACTGTATTTGCGAGCAGCGACTGTTGGTGGTGATGTGAAGTTCTCCCTCATCAAGGCTAAAACGAAAGTGGGCGCCTTAAGGTATACCTCCATTTCCATACTCGAGCACTGCGGTGCACTTATGTTGTCTCGTTTGGTGTTTTTGTACCTCATGTCTTTAAACTTGAAATCATTTGTTTTTTCTTATTCTGAGGTTGTCCTTGCATGGTTAGCCACTCCTGTGCATACACTGAAGGTGTTCGAAGCCAACCGTGTGTCCCAAATAGTGAACGTAATCCCGGACAATTATTGGCGACAATTGCCCTCAGTGGAGAATCCTTCCGATCTGGAGTCCCGTGTCTGCATTCCCAGTAGGCTTAAAGACGAAAAAGTATGGTGGAACGGTCTATCCTGGCTGTGTTCTCCTATAACTGAATGGTAAACCAAGTCAATCAAAGCTTATAATCAAAGTTTCAATGAGTGCATTTCTCAGCCGAACAAGAAGCAGGAACCGACACTTGATTGGACCACAAGATTTTCTTCCTATTCCAACTTAATTCGTACCATCGCAAGAAATCTGCGCTACATGAACCAAACCCTTCGTAGGTTAAGGAATCCTCTTCATAAGCAGCTTGGCTTACCACTCTCTCACGTTGAAGCCATTTCCTTTGAAGAATTCCTCGACGCCGAACTTCGAGTCATTCGGTACATACAGAAATTGTACCTTCCCAAGGTTCAACGAACTTGACGTGATACCCAAGGCATACGCTCATCTCTCACCATTCTTTGATGAACGACAGGTTATCGGGGTGGGCGGAAGGTTACAATACTCTCCTCTCAGCTTATCGAATAAAACCCTATTTTATTGCCATATCATTCCTGGTTTGCCCGTCTTGTTATAGCGCATACACACAGCAACTACTTCCACGCTGGGCCAACTCTCATCTTGTATCTTCTTAGAGCGAAGTTTGGATTCCTAGAGCCTCCAAACTCATAAGGAGTTGTATCCAACGCTGCACGCATTGCCCCAATAATAATAGTCGACACTGACATCAATTTAATCCAAAAAGTTAAAAAAAGTCGGGGCCCAGGGGGCCCAATCTCGAATTCGATATCATTTTCTTAAAAAGCGCCCTCCAAAACATATTAGTCGACCCTGATATTGATTTAATCCAAAAAGTTAAAAAAAGTCGGGGCCCGGGGGCCCAATCTCAAATTCGATATCATTTTCTTAAAAAGCGCTCCCCAAAACATATTAGTCGATCCTGATATTGATTTAATCCAAAAAGTTAAAAAAAGTCGGGGCCCGGGGGCCCAATCTCAAATTCGATATCATTTTCTTAAAAAGCGCCCCCAAAACATATTAGTCGATCCTGATATTGATTTAATCCAAAAAGTTAAAAAAAGTTGGGCCGGGGGCCCAATCTCAAATTCGATATCATTTTCTTAAAAAGCGCTCCCCAAAACATATTAGTCGACCCTGATATTGATTTAATCCAAAAAGTTAAAAAAAGTCGGGGCCGGGGGCCCAATCTCAAATTCGATATCATTTTCTTAAAAAGCGCCCCCAAAACATATTAGTCGACCCTGATATTGATTTAATCCAAAAAGTTAAAAAAAGTCGGGCCCGGGGGCCCAATCTCAAATTCGATATCATTTTCTTAAAAAGCGCCCCCAAAACATATTAGTCGACCCTGATATTGATTTAATCCAAAAAGTTAAAAAAAGTCGGGGCCCGGGGGCCCAATCTCAAATTCGATATCATTTTCTTAAAAAGCGCCCCCAAAACATATTAGTCGACCCTGATATTGATTTAATCCAAAAAGTTAAAAAAAGTCGGGGCCCGGGGGCCCAATCTCAAATTCGATATCATTTTCATAAAAAGCGCCCCCAAAACATATTAGTCGACCCTGATATTGATTTAATCCAAAAAGTTAAAAAAAGTCGGGGCCGGGGATGCCCAATCTCAAATTCGATATCATTTTCATAAAAAGCGCCCCCAAAAACATAGTAGTCGACCCTAATATCGATTTAATCCAAAAAGTTAAAAAAAGTCGGGGCCCGGGGGGCCCAATTTCAAATTCGATAACATTTTCATAAAAAGCGCCCCCAAAACATATTAGTCGACCCTGATATTGATTTAATCCAAAAAGTTAAAAAAAGTCGGGGCCCGGGGGGCCCAATCTCAAATTCGATATCATTTTCATAAAAAGCGCCCCCCAAAACATATTAGTCGACCCTGATATTGATTTAATCCAAAAAGTTAAAAAAAGTCGGGCCCGGGGGCCCAATCTCAAATTCGATATCATTTTCTTAAAAAGCGCCCCCAAAACATATTAGTCGACCCTGATATTGATTTAATCCAAAAAGTTAAAAAAAGTCGGGGCCGGGGGCCCAATCTCAAATTCGATATCATTTTCTTAAAAAGCGCCCCCAAAACATATTAGTCGACCCTGATATTGATTTAATCCAAAAAGTTAAAAAAAGTCGGGGCCCGGGGGCCCAATCTCAAATTCGATATCATTTTCTTAAAAAGCGCCCCCAAAACATATTAGTCGACCCTGATATTGATTTAATCCAAAAAGTTAAAAAAAGTCGGGGCCCGGGGTGCCCAATCTCAAATTCGATATCATTTTCTTAAAAAGCGCCCCCCAAAACATATTAGTCGACTCTGATATTGATTTAATCCAAAAAGTTAAAAAAAGTCGGAGCCCGGGGTGCCCAATCTCAAATTCGATATCATTTTCTTAAAAAGCGCCCCCAAAACATATTAGTCGACTCTGATATTGATTTAATCCAAAAAGTTAAAAAAAGTCGGGGCCGGGGGGCCCAATCTCAAATTCGATATCATTTTCTTAAAAAGCGCCCCCAAAACATATTAGTCGACCCTGATATTGATTTAATCCAAAAAGTTAAAAAAAGTCGGGGCCCGGGGGCCCAATCTCAAATTCGATATCATTTTCTTAAAAAGCGCCCCCAAAACATATTAGTCGACCCTGATATTGATTTAATCCAAAAAGTTAAAAAAAGTCGGGGCCCGGGGGCCCAATCTCAAATTCGATATCATTTTCTTAAAAAGCGCCCCCAAAACATATTAGTCGATCCTGATATTGATTTAATCCAAAAAGTTAAAAAAAGTCGGGGCCCGGGGGCCCAATCTCAAATTCGATATCATTTTCTTAAAAAGCGCCCCCAAAACATATTAGTCGACCCTGATATTGATTTAATCCAAAAAGTTAAAAAAAGTCGGGGCCGGGGGGCCCAATCTCAAATTCGATATCATTTTCTTAAAAAGCGCCCCCAAAACATATTAGTCGACCCTGATATTGATTTAATCCAAAAAGTTAAAAAAAGTCTGGGCCCGGGGGCCCAATCTCAAATTCGATATCATTTTCTTAAAAAGCGCCCCCAAAACATATTAGTCGACCCTGATATTGATTTAATCCAAAAAGTTAAAAAAAGTCGGGGCCGGGGGGCCCAATCTCAAATTCGATATCATTTTCTTAAAAAGCGCCCCCAAAACATATTAGTCGACCCTGATATTGATTTAATCCAAAAAGTTAAAAAAAGTCGGGGCCCGGGGGGCCCAATCTCAAATTCGATATCATTTTCTTAAAAAGCGCCCCCAAAACATATTAGTCGACCCTGATATTGATTTAATCCAAAAAGTTAAAAAAAGTCGGGGCCGGGGGCCCAATCTCAAATTCGATATCATTTTCTTAAAAAGCGCCCCCAAAACATATTAGTCGACCCTGATATTGATTTAATCCAAAAAGTTAAAAAAAGTCGGGGCCGGGGGGCCCAATCTCAAATTCGATATCATTTTCTTAAAAAGCGCCCCCAAAACATATTAGTCGACCCTGATATTGATTTAATCCAAAAAGTTAAAAAAAGTCGGGGCCGGGGGCCCAATCTCAAATTCGATATCATTTTCTTAAAAAGCGCCCCCAAAACATATTAGTCGACCCTGATATTGATTTAATCCAAAAAGTTAAAAAAAGTCGGGCCCGGGGGCCCAATCTCAAATTCGATATCATTTTCTTAAAAAGCGCCCCCAAAACATATTAGTCGACCCTGATATTGATTTAATCCAAAAAGTTAAAAAAAGTCGGGGTCCGGGGGCCCAATCTCAAATTCGATATCATTTTCTTAAAAAGCGCCCCCAAAACATATTAGTCGACCCTGATATTGATTTAATCCAAAAAGTTAAAAAAAGTCGGGGCCCGGGGGGCCCAATCTCAAATTCGATATCATTTTCTTAAAAAGCGCCCCCAAAACATATTAGTCGACCCTGATATTGATTTAATCCAAAA